TTATTCATATCCACATCTAATGTATCAAACTTATCTCCCTAACATGCAAAACAAAGACACAAGACAACAAAATTTGTCTTTAGTATCCCTTGATTCCTCCACTCCTAACTTTGTAAGGACAACACACAAAAGATATTGCAAAAATGAGGGAAGAATGGGACAAGGTAGGATTGTCTCATACTCATAAAGAGGGAAAGGTTAAGATGAAGATAAGAAGATCTAAGGGAGGAGAATGTAGTTAGGGTAAGATAAAAACCAAGAGAAAGAAAAAAAAAAAAGGGAGGTAGCATTTTTTGAAAGGGGGCTAGGTTTTTTTGAAAGAGAAATAATAATAGCAAGATAGAAAAAAAAAGGAAAAAAGAAAGAAATAAAGAGCTTGGAGAGAAAGAAAGGAAGAACAAGTGAAAATACAAGGAGAAAGCACCATCCAAACATCTTGATAAGTTTGGAAATGAGCTAATCTATCAACTCCGAGATTTTTAAATATTTTTAAACTTTATTAGATAATCTTCAACTCCCTTTTCAATCTTAGTAGGAAAAAATGATTTGGATGTTCGTTGATGCTAATAGATCTCATAGTCAACCGAAACCTAATAAATATGGTTCTTGGCCAAGTTTTACATGTTTGGTATAACTCTAGATGTTTTTGTTTTCTGAATTTTTTACATAAACGCCATATATGTTTCTTAAATATGTATGTAAAGTTTTATACTTTTGGACATAATATGATTTTCTATTTAAATTATCTAGTTGGATACTATAGCGTTGCTTTTTCAACACAAAAATAGCTATTGCCATATTTTGTATGCTTAATAGTCTTAAAAAAATTTTCCTTTCTAATATTTTTTTGTGATAACACCATCAACTAGTATCCTATCTATGTGCAAATTTTCATATATTTATGATAGAGGATGGTTTCCATTTAAGTTAGTTTGTTAGGTATATACGATACTTAATCTTTCTAGCTAAAAATGGCTACTTTACTTTATTACATGTTTGGTACATCTCTAAATACTTTTAAATTCTAATTTTTTATATGAAAAACATCCATTTTCACATAATCCATTAGCTAAATTTCATATTTTTAGGACATAGGATGGTTTTTATTTAAGTAATCTCATTGGTGTTAGTGTCGATGCCCGAGATCCAATCATGTTTAGATAGGTTTGAGTTATTGTATTATTGCATCATTTATTTTACTAACAATAAAGAATTATTTTTATTAAATCTTATTTTTTATTTTTATTAATTAAGTAAAATTAGATAGAAGTCTTTATGATATGCATTTGCAATAGTGATTAATCAAAAGATGTGAGATAAACACTAATATATATAAATGATATCATTAAATGCCCGAATTCGTAGCATTTTCAAGAATGGACATTGACTATATACGGCTAAACTTATGAGTGTTATTCTCGGGTTATATGATAGCCATATGAGATCTCACACCTATTGACATGGTGATCCCAAAGGAAGTACTTAGGTGATTTATGTTAGAGAACATATCACCTGGACTTAACTCACCATGAGAATCCATTTGGTTAGCGTTTGAAAATCTCATACGAGATAGGTAAAACTAGTCCCTAAACTTGAAGTCACCACGGTTATCTTGTTAAAGGATTCATGTATTTTGAAACTCATTTCGATAGACCCGATAAAGGGTTGCACGTAAGCGATTTGTTAGGTACACTAGCAATCTAATAGAGATGGGTGGATGACTAAGATAGGACATGTCATTCCTTTTATGCTAAAGGAGTTAGCATGTTGCACTTCAATGAATGTCTACCCAAGAAATCTATGGCCATAGTAGAAGTACACCAATAGAGTATGGTTGGTTTACTCTAAAAAGCTAAGACATTTAGGAATCAAAGAAAACTTATGTGATCATAATCAAAGAAGACTAATAACCAAGTTCGAGATCACATTGTGATAAATTAATATGAGGATCGAATTGTATGGTAATTATGCTCATGAAAGATAATTACAAATTAATTAATTCTTCTAAAGAATTTGATAGTCATGATGCATTGCTAGAGGCCAACCTTGACTTATGTATCAAAAGATAAAAGAGTTGTCTTCTATTCTTGATCCATTACCAATATATCTAGGAGCATATTAAGTCACATGTTAAAGAGAAGCAATAATGTTGGAAAACGTTTCCAATTATGAAAGTTTTCTATTTTAAAAATTAGTTTTTAATTTAGAAGTCAATTTTAAATTTGAAAGTAAACAACTTAAAATGGAGATTAGTTTCCTAATTTAAGTTTAAGGATATTTTGAAAAATTGCTTCCTAATGTGGGCCATCTATAATTATCTAACTGAATTTATTTGGATAGGTTAATTAATTAGGCTAATAGGTTTAATTAAAAACCTAAAAGATATTTTAGTGAGAGGATAAACACAAACCGTATTAGATGAGGATATATTTTAAAGATAAAAATCAAAAGCTCATTTGTTAAATAACTCCTAATCCTTGGAGGATTAGGAAGCAACAACCAAGAGTCCAATTAGGACTAATCGTCGCCCTCCTCCTTGTCTTTGGAGGACAAGAAAACTCTCCCCTATAAATAGGAGGAGAGGTGTAGCAATAAGATGGATGAAAAGGGAGACAAAAATTTAGCACACATAAAAATAAAAGGGACACACGGTGTAAAATAAAAGGAGGAGAAAATTGTTTTCACCTCAACTCTAAGCACACCACTTTTCTTCTCTCTCTCTCTCGGATTGTCACAAAATCACTCGATTAGATTTATATTAATTCAAATATTTAACTTAACTAATTACTCCATAATTAAATACTTAGGCATTAATAAAACTATTCTTCCTTCCTTCCATACATATATAATTATTGAGGAGGTTTTCGGTCAAGGATATTACACATTTGATTTGTTGCATCGGATAAATTTTGTAAACAGAGTGTATCATTTCAAGAAAGTAACTTTGTTGTGTTGTCTATGATCGGCTTGCAATTCGAATGTAAACATTCACTCTTGACCGAGTTTGTTTCTCTTGAGTAATTTCTTTATTTCAATTCTTTTCTTTTTACCAATATTTGATAAAATCCCCTTTTACAAGTGGTTTATGTGCGAATAAATATAAGAAAAGCAAGGTAACTTAGTCTATGTGGGATCAACTTAGACTTACCACTAGCTATGGTTGTTGAATTTAGTTAATTATTTGGTGGCGCTACGACTCGTAATCATTGTTCTTCTTCGGCATTTATAGTTGTTTAAGAGAGTAGCTATTTTACTTTGAATTTCAAGTTTTATAAATACTATAAATTTGTTAACACATGACAAAATGATTGAGTTTATTGTATCCATAAAATGACATGCAACATACATTTGATTCATTACATGAGATAAATTCTATAGATAGAGTGTATCATTTCAAGAAAGCAATTTTGTTATGTCTCGAGTCGATCTCTTAAAAATTATGATAAAACTATTATGATGGTTCTATTATCTTTATACTATAAAATATAATAACGTAATTTTAATCATTAATTTTCCTAAGAATTAAAGTAAAAAAAATTCAATTTTTTATTCATGAATTTATTTATTTATTGTGTGAATTTTTATTATTTAATTATACTCCTTATTATTATGTGTTAGAAGCAACAATTTCTTTCTTGGAAACTACCTCAGACTTGGAAATCTTTAATGTTGTTGAATACAGGCGACGACTTGGAAGTCTTTCATGCCCTAGTCACAAGTCATGACTAAGCATACTGAAGACTTTGGAAAGGTAAGTCTTCTTCCATGGTCCCGTTTCCAGTTGGCTTGCTCTATTTGAAGCCTCATGCCATGCATTAGATGCTTTCCTAGGGCTGAATGCTGACAGTGATACGCACTGACGAAGATTTTACATGAAATTGAGCCAAAAACATGGAACTTTTCCAACGACTCGTAGCCTATTTGAACAGTGTTGATGGCATTAATTCCAGTTTTCGTACTGGAGTAGGAGTCAGCAGCCCATTATTCGAGAAGTTCGCCTTTTTTTTTTTTTCCTTCTTTTTTCAATTCTAATTCTTGATTTCCCTTCTAAACAAACTGTTTTATCAGTCAACTGATCAAAGCATAGGTGGTTTACCCTGTCGAGAGATTAAGAATTTTTTTTTTCCCCTACTACATATGCAACCCTTTATTTCAAAAACAAAAAAGCTGACTGTTTTTTTTTTTTTTTGTCAAAAACTTGGTTTCAGCGATTGTCATGATATGTTCAATTAGAAACTCGAGTAAAATTTTATTTTATGAAAACCACATGCCAATACCTTCACATAAAAACAAATGGTTTCTGTCTAAAATTTTATGAAAATTAATAATAATAAAAAAAAAGATTTACATGTTAAAAAAGAAAAGACCGACATTTCATTTCCGAAATTTTATGCCAATAGACTTACAGGTATGGCAATAACAACACTTGGAAAAATAAATAAATATGGTCCCTTCTAACAACTGTTATAACCTACCAATCAAAGTATGACGAAAAATTTTATAATATTTAAAAAATAATTAGTATAAATTATTTTAGGAAGAAAAAATAAAAAAAATATATAATATTCAATAAGTAGGTAGTATAAATTAATCATTCTTAGCAGCGTCAAGCCAAAACAATATAGCAATTTTTCCCAAAACTAAGCATCAGCTCTTGACTAGTACATGGTTCTGAAAAATTATTGGATGCCCGATGTGCCAAGTTGCATTAGTACATATGTTCCATGATTGCAAGCAAACAACCAGAAAACCCAATTCAATTGATAATGACCGTTGTCCAACCAATTTTGATCCAACTGTAAGCAATTAGTATACAACATCAAAATCATAGTCACGTGAAGACCTAAGTCTTCAAAAAAGAAAGTCATTGAAAAAAATAACAAAAAAAAAGGTGGCCTTTCACTCCTTATCCAGAGAGTTTGAGTGAGCATTCTTATTCAGCAGCTATGCTTATTTAGTTCTCTTCAAACCAAGCAACGGGAAGGTACCAACAAAAAGAGATGAGACCTAACGTAAACATTGAATACCTATGGTGGCTCTCCTTGACTATCCTGCTGGTTTTGGTGATCGCATCCACTTCTACAGCTGCCTCTCTTAAAGGCAACACGAATCCCATTTGCAATGCCACAATTGGTGAATGCAGTGAAGAAGAGTTTTCTTTGGAATCTGAAGTGTATCAGAGACTTCTAGCCAATCAAGCTGGTAAGTATATTAATTATGCAAGTTTAGTACAAAATCAACGAGTTTGCGATGCTCGCATATACGGCGACTGCGCAAAACCGATCAATGGTAACTCTCGGCCTTGCACTTACTACAATCGGTGTAAACGTGGTAATTAAATGATGGAGGAAGAGACACCAAGGGGCCAGTTCTTTATTTGTCTGTTTGGATTTTTCTTAATTTGAATAACCACCCATATAGTGCTGGATGATCCAGTCCGTCTATGTGAGCTCCACCGTGACGAGTGGATCAGTTTGCTCTGCATCTGTCTGGGTGACTGTCTAACCTTTCTGCTTTCTTTTACTCATGTTTCCTTTTAGTACAACAATAAAATTTGTATATATTCTGCGATGTAGGCAAGCAATTGCTTTGTAGATAATGATCTATTGATCTCTATAATGTGATTGTCTTCCTCATGATCTCATTGCAAAGCTTCCTTAACCTAATGCAAGCTACAAATTAAGTGAATAAATTAAATAAATCTGTGAATGTCCAGGGTTTTGCGTAAGGTATCCTGATTAGAAAAGATAAGAACATCTGCTAGACCGATTCATGGACATCATCCCTTACAGAGGACTTGAAATTTCCTTAGGATTGAAGTACTTTCAACATGATGGTTCCATCAATGGAACTCAGTTTCAATTCATTTATTATTCCAATTATTTTTCATCCACCGAGAATTTCATTTAGTTTCCCTCATATATGGAAAGAAAGCATAATAGGAATGAGAGAAAGAAAGGACAAATTGCCATCTCCAGAAAAGAGAGGAGAGTTTTGCCTCTTCTTTATTACTTGTGCAACAAAAACATCTCAGTACCACCAAGTTTTGTAGTTAACAAGAACTAGATGAAAGGACTTTTTGGTTATTTGCTCAGCTGAAAAAGCACACTCATGAACCAAAAGGGTACGATGGAGTTTTGAACATAGAATAGCTAGATCCTCTGAGCCTCCTACGTAGTACAATAAACAAAGAAACCGAAAACAAAAGCACTTGTTCAATGGGAATTTATTGAAGAAGAAGAACAGAAAGGAGTCAATGAGACTCCATGGACATGAGGCGAGTCCAAGGGCTATCTCAGAAGGAAAAGGAAGGATGTTGAAGACTGGAACAAGACCAAACCACAATGAAGAGATAGATGTGCATGCCACGTGATTGCCTAAAAGCATTGGTGAGGATTATAGATCTTGAACTTACAAGTTACCAAAATTATTGAAAGCAAGCTGATGATCACGATGAAGAAGAAGCCTGCGCCTTTTGAAGCATAATCTTGACTGATTGTGCATTTTGTGCTGGTTAATGACCAACCTGAAATACATTCGACCTCGTTAAGCAAGTTGTTCTGCAGCAGCATATTAATTAAATAACAATTTTTCTATAAATTTCCAAGGCCTAAACATATTTTCAACATGATCACAACCATTTGCAAATGACCTGAAATTTGGTACCCAAGTTTTAATTTTTTTTAAGGATACAAGAAAAGAAAACATCTTCATGAATGTATCAGGGAACAGCAGAAAGATCGACCAATACACGCAGGAGACAAGAGACAAGGGTCTTCCGATTCCAAACATGCAGCCAGATATTTACGTAAATACTTGATTCGACCATAATGAGGAAACTCTTAATAGCATCTCCAATTATGCTCTTTATTTTTAGTTAGTATTTTTAATGTAAATAGAGAGCATCGTTAATTATATAGATTGAAAATCAATATTCTCTTTAATGCTACTCTCTACTTAACTTTTTATTTTGACAAAATCTATAAAACCTAAAGAGACTTATTGGTAAAGAGGTTGAGTGGCATAAGAAATAGTAATTTTTATTAATAAAATATAAGATAAAGAGTCATTTGGACTTCTACAGTATTGGACAGACAAAGATACTCCCTATATTAATTTTAAAGATAAATATTGTGATAAAGAAAGTATTGAAAATGAAATTTGTAACAAATCTCTTTATTATAAAGAAAAATCTTAATACAAAAGCACTGAAGATGCTCTGAGACTTGCATTGGCCTGACAGTAAACTGTGATCTTAATCCATACCAATTAAAAAAAAAAAAATGGTATAAGCCAGTATTAATATCAACAAAAATGCATGGAATCTAGCGTGTGGAAATTAGTTCATTCTTGGTCCCTTTAATGGGTCAGAACCACCCAATGGAAAGCAGCCATCCAAAGCTGACCAAGTAATACGACCAATATGTCCCAATCACCTTATCGTCGAATTTTCCACTCTCTCAGGCTTAAAATATCTAATTGGAATATTCTCAGCTTGAGCAAAAATGCTACTGTATGGGAGAAAAAAACACCATTGATCCTCTTCCCTTCGTCAAAATCTTTGCATTCTATACCTGATTAAGCTCTCTTACTCCAGCTTATTCCGAAGAAAAAACAAATAGCATTATGCTCATCTTCATCACTCTTTACCTTCTCCCTCTCCTCCATCTCTTCCTTTCTGTTACTGCCACTGAAGATTACTTGCTGCCATACACTCCCACTGATTTAATACTCCTTAACTGTGGTGCATCCTCTAACGCATCGTCACCAGATGGTCGCAGTTGGGATGGTGATTCCCAGTCTAAATTCTCTGCCTCTAACCCCCAAAATGCCTCATCAGTGTTTGACGCCTCCACACAACATTCCGTCGCCCGAGTCCCATATTTGACGGCCCGTATTTTTCATTCTAAATTCACCTACACGTTTCCAGTCTTGCCTGGCCCAAAATTTGTGCGTCTCTACTTTTATCCAGCTACTTACTCAAACCTTGACATGCCCAAATCCTACTTTTCTCTCAGTGCCAATAACTACAAGCTACTAAACAACTTTAGTGCCTCTCTTGCAGTTTCTGCTATAAGACCTCCAGTTGACTACTTCACCAAAGAGTTCATCATCACCGTGTGGGACAACCAGAAGCTTGACTTAACCTTCACTCCATCTCCAACATCTTTCGCCTTCATTAATGGTATCGAAATCGTTTCCATGCCAGACGGCTTCTATGCTCGCGGCAATGATAACCCACTAACCTATGTGGGCAACAATTACTTCTTCTATTTGGATAACACCACTGCACTTGAGACAGTTTATCGACTTAATGTCGGTGGACAAGATGTCATTAATACACGCGATACTGGCATGAGCAGAACATGGCATCAAGATTTGGATTATCTCTTTGGATCACCTGGGAACTTTCCTTATCTACCTGTTGTTAAGATAAAGTACACCCGCAACACACCAGCTTACACAGCACCTGTTATGGTATATAGTACTATGCGTTCGATGGGTCCTGAACCACGTCTTAACATAAATTACAATCTCACATGGATCTTCCCGGTTGATGCTGGTTTCCATTATCTTCTTAGACTTCATTTTTGTGAGACTCGAATGGAGGTCAAACTTTTGAATCAACAGGTATTTTTCATATTCATCAACAACCAAACAGCAGAGCATGATGCAGATGTGATCCACCTGAGCGGTGGTTACGGTATTCCAGTGTACAAAGACTACATCGTGCAGGTCCCTGAAGGAAGCCAGAGAAAGCTGGACTTGTGGCTCGCACTACACCCTAACATGGACCTGAAACCTGCTTATGCTGATGCAATCTTGAATGGTTTGGAAATATTCAAGCTAAATACAACAGATGGAAATCTTGCAGGACCGAACCCAGAACCAACATTGACTCCTACACCAGCAGCAAAACATCCAAGTCTACAAGAAAGCAGAAAGGGCAAAAGACCGTCAATACCTCTGGTTATAGGCATCCTTGGAGGTGTGACTGGTGCTGTATTTGCTTTCTCTCTTATTCTTTATCTCTTTGCTTTAAAACAGAAGAGAGTCAAGGACTCCAGTAAGAGTGAGGAAAAGTCCTCCTGGGCTCCCTTATCACAAACATCCAGGTCCACGACTACAGTCTCTTCATCACTACCAACTGATCTTTGTCGACGGTTTACATTAGTTGAGATCATAGAAGCAACAAGAAACTTTGATGATCAACATATTATTGGTTCAGGGGGATTTGGTACTGTGTATAAAGGATACATTGAATACGGTTCCATCCCAGTTGCCATCAAACGACTAGATTCGTTATCAAAGCAAGGGACACGTGAGTTCCAGACTGAGATTGAGATGTTGTCCAATCTTCGCCACCTCCATCTTGTGTCATTGATTGGATATTGTGATGATCATGATGAGATGATCCTTGTGTACGATTACATGTCAAAAGGAACGCTTAGAGAACATCTCTACAAAACAAAGAACTCTCCTCTTCCATGGAAGCAGAGACTAGAAATATGTATTGGTGCTGCAAAAGGGTTGCATTATCTTCATTTAGGCGCAAAGCACACAATCATTCATCGTGATGTGAAGTCAACAAACATATTGCTGGATGAGAATTGGATGGCTAAGGTTTCCGATTTTGGGCTGTCCAGATTAGGTCCCACTAGTGCATCCCAAACCCATGTTAGCACCGTCGTTAGAGGTAGTTTTGGATATGTAGATCCGGAGTACTACCGTCGGCAACACCTCACAGAGAAATCTGATGTTTACTCATTCGGTGTGGTTTTGTTTGAGGTGCTATGTGCAAGGCCACCAGTGATCCCAAGCTCACCAAAAGAGCAAGCAAGCTTAGCTGAGTGGGCACGGAAATGTTATCAAAGAGGAACCCTTGATCAGATCATGGATCCACATTTAAGGGGTGAAGCTGCCCCTGTATCTTTAAATAAGTTCGGGGAGATTGCTAACAGTTGCTTGCATGGTAAAGGAATTGAACGCCCAAAAATGGGTGATGTGGTTTGGGGCCTTGAGTTTGCGTTGCAGCTTCAACAAACTGCTGAGAAAAATGTCAACGGTGTAGATGGGGTCAACATGGAAAAGGAAAGGTCATTATCACCGCATGGAGAGGTCATTACCACTGATGGCGATGACCTGTTTAGTGGAGCTGAGTCACTATCAAGGACCACAGTTAGCACTCTTGAAGGAAGTATCAACCAAAGGGATTCGGATCACGGAGCAAGGACAGAGGGTGTATTTTCTGAAATAATTAGCCCAAAGGGACGATGAGATTGAAATCAATACTTAATGTGGGCTGCTTATGATCAGTAACTTGGTAGCATTATATATATATATATATATATATACACACGCGCTCAAAGTAGACCTGCTGTTTTTTGTGAAAACAAGGTTGTTTTTTTTTTTTTTTTTTTTGGTCCTGTAGTTTGTGCTTTGCAATCATTTTGTTATAGGCATATCCATTACATTGTTGTAGCTGGATGATATGAGTTATTATGCAAACTTAAGGTTAGCATTTCGTCAGTGCCAAGAAATTGATGGCTTAGATGGTAGTAATTTGTTGTGCTCATAAATAAATGATATTCCAAACTTGTTTTCCTTGATTATGCGAACCATTCCAAGAGCTTTTTAGTTACTTCATTTTCGATTGGATTACTCTTAACAATGTCTTTTTTCTTTTCTTTCTTTTTTTCTTTTTGCCAATCTTTATTAAATACTAAGATAGCAAAAGCCATGGTGGAAACAGAGAACCAAAAAAAACACAGAAAATGCAGAATCAAATTTGCTGGTATAGACGTTAGAAAAGCCACAAATTAAGGCAGCTAAAACTGTTCCAAAGAGAGTTTTGAGATGGCAGAGACAGAGACGATACCATCCTATGCACCCTCTTCTATTCTACCACTCGATTTTAATTAGCACTTTATAGTTCATACGTTAAGGTCACCCAACAGACACCGAGCAAGTCTAATTCCTTGCTTCGTAGAACACAAACATGGCTATAGATTCTTTCTTCTACTTCTCTCTATAAGCATATCCGAAAAAAGAGAACGCAATCAAATTGTAAGTCAATGATAGACCCATTGATGGAAATAATTCTATTATTTCCATCTTCTTCAATCAAATTAGCCATGAAAATTAGTGTTCCAAATGCATACAATGGCCCAGATAAAACTTCAGAATATAATGCCAGCCAACTCCTATTAGAATGCCCTCCAGCTGAATTTTTCAACTTATTGTTCATGATCTCCAATAAACACGTAAGTTTAACATGATTTCTTCTAATTAGATTTTGATCTGCTCTACGCTATTCTCCTGAATTGGTGTCCCTAGTACTCCAAAACAAACACTTATCCATTGATCACTATACATCCAGAAAATAGAAAATATCAAGTAATAGCTTCTGTTCGTCCAATTATGTTCTCTCTCCTTATGTTTTTCATTCCAGTCTATTACATTATAGCATCCCATTACAGGATTGTGTTCTCTCATAATTTTTCAGGTTTTCCTACACTCTCCTCATGTTTGGAAACTCATTTAGGTGACCTTCAGCCTTCCCGACAGATGATATTTTCTGTCTTTCTCAGTTTTGTAGTGTTTTTCTTTTTATGTCAGGAAATATATGGAGATCTGTGTCTTAAAGGGTACTTTCGTTGGAAACTACCTTACACTTAGAACTCTTTAATGTTTGATTGGATACTACCAACCACTTGAAAGTCTTTCATGCTGTAGACAGTACCGAAAAAAAAAAAAAGGTTTACTGTTGAGTTCACTTTAGAATTTATTTATTTATTTATTTTATGTTAATATTGTATATGATAATATCAATGTAATAAAAAGCTCCGGAAGAGCGATTATATTACTACCCGAAGAGATAAATTTTTAAGGCTCTAGAAGAGCGATTATATTATGACTCGAAGAGATAAATTTTAAAGACTCTAGAAGAATGAATATATTATTACTTAAAGAGATAACTTTCAAAGGCTCTAAAAAAGTCGATATATTATTGCTTGAAGTGACATAATTTAAAAGCTCTAGAAGAGCAAATATGTTATTAATCGAAAGGATAAATTTTATTATAAATGATATACTATTCTCTTCAAAGTCTCTTAGAAACTTGTTGAGTTTCAAAGATATTCATCTAAATTGATATTATATCAAAATAACAAATATGAATACTTATATTATAATCATTATACCGGGTAGAAAATATATATTGAAAAATTTATCCGCTTTCTCTTCTAGTCTTTATTACAAATATTGGAATGATTGAAACAAATACTATAGTAAACCGAAGTTTACTAATTCAAATGTTTTTATTATGTCATAGACTAGTTATGCTATCTTGGGTCTTTTATAATGCGAAAAATTATCAAAAATTCATATGGACATCTATTGAAGAGCTAGAAGATTCTTCAATTTAATGAATTTTCATGTTTTGTATGTTCTCAAAGCAAATTCATTATTAAGTCATCACTAAGTAAAATTGAGATTGAATCTCTAGTATTTTCATAATGTATTTAAGGTGATATATGTGGATCAATTCATCAACCATATGGACCATTTAAATATTTTACGATTTTAATAAATGCATCCATAAGATGGTCACATATATGCTTATTATCTATTAGAAATCCGACGTTTTCGAGATTGCTAGCAAATAATTTGATTTCGAGCATAATTTTTACATTATACCATTGAAATAAGTCACCTTGATAATGTCGATGAATTTATTTCTCAAGCATTAAATTATTATTCATTGGCTATTAGAATAAAGGTTGAACATCTCGCTGCTCATGTTCATACTCGAAAGGTTTAGCAAAATTATTTATCAAAAGGGTCCAATTGATAGCTAAACCATTATTTAAAAATAAAACTCTCTGTTTATGTTGGGTGACATACAATCTTACATGCGGCAACATTTATTCGCATCGGACCCATAAGTTATCAAAAACTCTCTCCTCTTCAATTGATTTATGGTCATGACCCAATTATTTCTTATTTAAGAATTTTTGGCATTGCGAGTATATATTCATAGTGCTCCTCCATAACAAAATAAAATGGGCACTTAAAGGAGATTGGGAATATATGTTGAATTTGAATCCTCTTCAACCTCTTAATTCATGAACAAGAGGTATTTTTATAGCTCGATTTATCGATTGTCATTTTGATGAAACAATTTTTTCAATATTAGGGGAAGAGAATAAGCAAAATAAGCGAGTTGAAAATGTTAAAAAAAAAAAAAGATTACATGGAGTACTCTATCTTTATATCATATTGAATCTCATACAAAACAATGAGAACCGAAGTTCAAAAGATAATTCACTTACATAGTATTACAAACCAATTGCTAGATGTATTCTCAAATCCTAAATGAGTAACTATAATGCATGCCCCTGCTGAGAATGCTCCTATTAGAATTGATTTCCTAGAAGGACCATCTATTAATGTTATAGCCAATAAATCTAAAGCACGTCGAAGCGTGGAAGACCAATCGGTTCTAAAGACAAAAATCCCTAAAAGTAAAGGGCAAGATGAAAATATAAAGGATGTAAATATTCACAAAACGGTCCAAGTTATTTCGATAATAGGCTTCCGGAAGAAGTCCAAATGCTTGAGAAAAATCAAGAGATTTTGATAAATTATGTCAATATAGGGAGAAAATAAGACCGAAAAGAAATATTTATTGATAAGATTTTTGTATATAATGTTTCAATTGATATTTTAAATGAAAATAAGGATCTTGAGCCAAAATCTATTAAGAATGTCGACACAAAAATGATTGGCCTAAATGAAAAAAACAATTCGAGCGAGAATTATGTTCTTTTATAAAAAAGTAATTTTTTTTTAACCCATAGCTAAAACACTCGAAGATGTTAAGCTAGTGGGATACAAACATGTATTTATGCGAAAATAAAATTAGAAAGATGAGATTGTAAGATACAAAACAAAACTTTTAACACAAGAGTTTTTGTAAAGAACCGACATTAACTATGAGGAGACATATTCTCCTATAATGGATGCGATTGTATTTTGTTATCTCATTAGCTTGAAAAAATGTATGAAAAATATTCATATGCATGCATTTAATGCATGTGATCACGGTTTATTTGTTCATTTGAAATGATATCGGTATGAAAGTCCTAGAATGACTTAACATGCTAGAAGCATGTAATACATATTCTCGAGAAAAGAATTCAATTAAATTATAAAGATCTCTATTAGGATTATTAGTATTTTTTTATTTTAATTTTTAAAAATTCAATTTATATTATACTTTTTTTATTTTTACATCTATTGTTTATTACTAACATGTGTGCATGTGATATAATCACTTCAATGACTATTGAAAGAAAGTTATGAAAAAAAAAACCCTATTTGTTCATATATTTTTATTTGAAAAGGAGTTTGTTGTATATGTTGATAACTTAAATATTACTGGAACTCCCGAAGAGATTTCAAGTATCATAAGTTATCTAAAAAGAGAATTTGATGTGAATACCTTAAGAAAAAAAAGTTATCTCGACTCGTAGTTCGAGCACTTAGAGAATGAGATTTTTATTCATCGGTCAATTTATATAAAAAAAGGTTCCATAATGATTCTATATAAACATCATTCATTGACTAGCCCAATGGTAGTTCATTCACTTGATATCCAAAAGGACCTTTTTCAATCTCGAGAAGATAACGAAAAACTACTTGGTCCCGAAGTACCGTATCTTAGTAGTGTATTGATATATCTTTCTAATAATACTCGACATGATATAGTTTTTTTTCTATAAATTTATTAGCAAGTCATAGTTTTGCTTCAATACGGAGATATTTAAATAAAGTTAAACATATACTACGTTATCTTCGAGGAACAATTGATATGGTCTTATATTACTCTAATAAATCAAAGACGAAATTAATTGGTTATGCGGATGCAAGTTATTTATTTGATCCACATAAAGCTCAATCATAACTCGGTTATATATTTACATATGGAGATACAGCTATATCTTGTCATTCTATGAAGCAAACTACAGATGCCACATCTTCAAACTATGCGAAATACTAGCAATTCATGAGACAAGTCGAGAATGTATTTGGTTAAGATGACCCATCATATTCGAGAGATATGTGGTTTATCCTCTAGCAAGGAAGTTCCAACAATCTTGTATGAAGATAATAGTACTTGCATAACTCAATTAAGGGAAGGATACATCAAAGGTGATGAAACGAAGCATATATCACCAAAATTATTTTTCACACATGATCTTCAAGGAAATGAT